ATAAACTATCAGACAGAGGACCCTACCTCCCCTGATATATACCCTGGTACATGACAACTGGTACACTATCAGACAGAACACCCTATATCCCCTTATATATACCTGGTACACGACAACTGGTACACTATCATACAGAGGACCCTACATCTGATATATACCTGGTACACGACAACCGGTACACTTTCATTCAGAGGACCCTACATCCCCTGATATATACCTGGTACATGACAACTGGTACTCTCTCAAACAGAGGACCCCACGTCCCCTGGTATATACCTGGTACAAGACAACTGGTACACTATCTGACAGAGGACCCAACATCCCCTTATATATACCTGGTGGACGACAACTTGTACACTATCAGACAGAGGACCCTACATCCCCTGATATATACCTGGTACACGACAACAGAAACACTATCAGAAACACTATGAGACAGAACCTACATCCCATAATATATACCCTGGTAGACGACAACTGATATACTATCAGACAGAAGACCCTACATCCCCTGATATATACCTGGTACATGACAACTGATACACTATCAGACAGAGGTCTCTACAACCCTGATATATACCTGGTACACGACAACAGATACACTATGAGACAGAACCTACATCCCCTAATATATACCCTGGTACACGACAACTGATACACTATCATACAGAGGACCCTACAGCCCCTGATATATACCTGGTACACGACAACTGATACACTATGAGACAGAACCTACATCCCCTTATATACACCTGGTACATGACAACTTGTACACTACCAGACAGAGGACCCTACATCCCCTGATATATACCCGGGTACATGACAACTTGTACAGTATCATTCAGAAGACCCTACATCCCTGATATATACTTGGTACAAGACAACTGGTACACTATCAGACAGAGGACCCTACAGCCCCTGATATATACCTGGTACACGACAACTAGTACACTATCTCACAGAGTACCCTACATGCCCTTATATATACCTGGTACACGACAACTGGTACACTATCAGACAGAGGACCTTACAACCCCTGATATATACCTGGTACACGACAACTGGTACACTATCTCAAAGAGGACACTACATCCCCTTATATATACCTGGTACATGACAACTGATACACTATCAGACAGAGGACCCTACATTCCCTGATATATACCTGGTACATGACAACTGGTACACTATCTGACAGAGGACCCAACATCCCCTTATATATACTTGGTGGACGACAACTTGTACACTATCAGACAGAGGACCCTACATCCCCTGATATATACTCTGGTACATGACAACTTGTACACTATCAGACAGAACACCCTATATCCCCTGATAAATATACCTGGTACATGACAACTGGTACACTATCATACAGAACCTACATCCCCTGATATATACCCTGGTACACGACAACTGATACACTATCAGACAGAGGAACCTACAACCCCTGATATATTCCTGGTACACGACAACTGGTACACTATCTGACAGAAGACCCTACATTCCCTGACATATATATGGTACACGACAACTGGTACACTTTCAGACATAGGACCCTACATTCCCTGATATATACCTGGTACACGAGAACTGGTACTCTATCAGACAGAGGACACTACATCCCTATATATATACCCTGGTACATGACAACTGGTACACTATCAGACAGAACACCCTATATCCCCTTATATATACCTGGTACACGACAACTGGTACACTATCATACAGAGGACCCTACATTTGATATATACCTGGTACACGACAACCGGTACACTTTCATTCAGAGGACCCTACATCCCCTGATCTATACCTGGTACATGACAAATGGTATACTCTCAGACAGAGGACCCCACGTCCCCTGGTATATACCTGGTACACGACAACTGGTACACTATGATATAGAAGACCCTACATCACCTGATATATACCTGGTACATGACAACTGGTACACTATCATATAGAAGACCCTACATGCCCTTATATACACCTGGTACACGACAACTGGTACACTATCATACAGAGGAACCTACATCCCCTGATATATACCCTGGTACATGACAACTGGTACACTATCAGACAGAACACCCTATATCCCCTGATAAATATACCTGGTACATGACAACTGGTACACTATCATACAGAGGACCCTACATCTGATATATACCTGGTACACGACAACCGGTACACTATCAGACAGAGGACACTACATCCCCTGATATATACCTGGTACATGACAAATGGTACACTCTCAGACAGAGGACCCCACTTGCCCTGGTATATACCTGGTACACGACTACTGGTACACTATCATACAGAAGACCCTACATCACCTGATATATACCTGGTATAAGACAACTGGTACACTATCAGACAGAGGACCCTACATCCCCTGATATATACCTGGTACATGGCAACTGGTACTCTATCAGACAGAAGACCCTACATCCCCTGATATATACCTGGTACACGACAACTGGTACACTATCAGACAGAACACCCTACATCCCCTGATATATACCTGGTACAAGACAACTGGTACTCTATCAGACAGAGGACCCTACATCCCCTGATATATACCGGGTACATGACAACTGATACACTATCAGACAGAAGACCCTACATCCCCTGATATATACCTGGTACATGACAACTGGTACACTATCAGACAGAAGACCCTACATTCCCTGGTATATACCTGGTACACGACAACTGATACACTATCAGACAGAGGACCCTGCAGCCCCTGATATATACATGGTACACGACAACTGATACACTATGAGACAGAACCTTCATCCCCTGATATATACCCTGGTACACGACAACTGATACACTATCAGACATAGGACCCTACAACCCCTGATATATACCTGGTACACGACAACTGGTACACTATCTGACAGAAGGCCATAGATTCCCTGACATATACCTGGTACACGACAACTGGTACACTATCAGACATAGGACCCTACATTCACTGATATATACCTGGTACACGACAACTGGTACTCTATCAGACAGAGGACCCTACATCCCCTGATATATACCCTGCTATATGACAACTTGTACACTATCAGACAGAACACCCTATATCCCCTTATATATACCTGGTACACGACAACTGGTACACTATCAGACAGAGGACTCTACATCTGATATATACCTGGTACACGACAACAGGTACATTTTGATTCAGAGGACCCTACATCCCTTGATATATACCTGGTACATGACTACTGGTACACTCTCAGACAGAGGACCCCACCCCTCCTGGTATATATTTGGTACACGACAACTAGTACACTATCATACAGAAGACCCTACATCACCTGATATATACCTGGTACAAGACAACTGGTACACTATCTGACAGAGGACCCTACATCCCCTTATATATACCTGGTGGACGACAACTTGTACTGTATCAGACATAGGACCATACATCCCCTGATATATACCTGGTACATAACAACTGATACACGATCAGACAGAGGACCCTACATCCCCTGATATATACCTGGTACATGACAACTGATACACTATCAGACAGAGGACTCTACAACCCTGATATATACCTGGTACACGACAACTGGTACACTATCATACAGAGGACCCTACAGCCCCTGATATATACCTGGTAGACGACAACTGATACACTATCAGACAGAACCTACATCCCCTGATATATACCCTGGTACACGACAACTGGTACACTATCATACACAGGACCCTACATCCCCTGATATATACCTGGTACATGACAACTTGTATACTATCAGACAGAGGACCCTACATCCCCTGATATATACCCTGGTACATGACAACTGGTACACTATCAGACAGAACACCCTATATCCCCCTGATAAGTATGCCTGGTACATGACAACTGGTACACTATCATACAGAGGACCCTACATCTGATATATACCTGGTACACGACATCCGGTACACTTTCATTCAGAGGACCCTACATCCCCTGATATATAACTGGTACATGACAACTGGTACACTCTCAGACAGAGGACCCCACGTCCCCTGGTATATACCTGGTACACGACAACTGGTACACTATCAGACAGAGGACCCTACATCAGCTGATATATACCTGGTACATGGCAACTGGTACTCTATCAGACAGAAGACCCTACATCCCCTGATATATACCTGGTACACGACAACTGGTACACTATCAGACAGAACACCCTATATCCCCTGATATATTCCTGGTACACGACAACTGGTACACTATCATACATAGGACCCTACATCTGATATATATCTGGTAGACGACAACTGGTACACTATCATTCAGAGGACCCTACATCCCCTGATATATACCTGGTACAAGACAACTGGTACACTCTCAGACAGAGGACCCCACGTCCCCTGATATATACCTGGTACACGACATCTGGTACACTATGATACAGACGACCCTACATCCCCAGATATATACCTTTTACAAGACAACTGGTGCACCATCAGACAGAGGACCCTACATCCCCTGATATATACCTGGTACACGACAACTAGACACTATCAGACAGAGGACCCTACATCTGATATATACCTGGTACACCACAACCGGTACACTATCATTCAGAGGACCCTACATCCCCTGATATATTCCTGGTACATGACAACTGGTACACTCTCAGACAGAGGACCCCACGTCCCCAGATATATACCTGGTACACGACAACTGGTACACTATTAGGCAAACTTAAAGGAACCTAAGAAACCTAAAGGTTTTTGTCATTAAATCGTTGGAAATATCCTGCATGAACAATTCCCTTATAAACTGACAGCTCGGAGATCGGAATTGATTGACATCTTCAGCTTTAATATGAATAATGTGGTTACAGCTTGCATGTTTTTTGTGATTTAGTGTGATGAAGCTACGAGTATGGTCACTAAGAAGCTCGTTATCAAGAAGTCGTTGAAAAAAGCATGCGGCACGGAACCCATCTAACCCGTTTCACGTGTGTCTCTGTCAGTTTGTGTTTCAGCACTACCCTCCAGCAGCACCCAGCCTTTCCAGTGTTTAAACGGTACCAAACTCTTCACCGAGTGTTCAGCGCAAATCCAAGGGACTCCCGTGGAACGGCTCTTCAGGGACAGCAACTTCAAGTTCAACAACTTGACATCTATTCTTTCAGCTGTAAGGATGACCTTCTGCCAGCCTACGTACGTTTGTTTTCAATTTCTCGATTAAACATTTATGTCAACAATACATGGACCCCATAGCGAATCTAATGAGGTCAAATTAATAATCTGTCATTTTGATGATCAGTCACATAAGCATAGGCGAATCAAGAGTGGGCGCAGGGGTGCACTCCCCCACCCCCTTTTGTCCTGAAAGATGATTAAATGACCATTGCATAGAACCGCATGGAGAGAGTCCACTTCCCACGTAAGGGATCTGTTGCCCAAAGGTATCTGAAGCAGCGAAAACAAGCTATCTGATTAATAATTATTACCAAGTAGATACCGGTGACAGGAAATAAGGCCCAGGTCGCACCACGGTACTCATAACGTGGACATGTCATGTGTTTTTATTAGACCTATTGCAAATAACCTTTGATGTCACCATTTTCATCACGTGTAGACCTGTCACGTGAGCACGTCATGAGTATTTACTAATTATAGAATGGGAAAAAAACTATGACGTCATCATTCAAAATGGCCGACTAAATTGATTACGCAATGATTTCTGTTTATATACCTCCCTATTCACCACCCAGGTGATAGCTAGCTTCACATCCGAGATGGTTATTGGGGTGTGTGTGTGTGTGTGTGTGTGTGTGTGTGTGTGTGTGTGTGGTGTTTGACATAATATGTGATGACTATACAGTCAGCAGACCTCTACTGATTGTGTAGCCACAGGTGATGACTGTTGGTCAGATCCCAGGTCATGATTATGCTGTCACATGCTACGTGGTTGTCACACCCATGCTAATGTTCGTGGTGTGTGACCAGCTGTTAATAGGATATAGTGCAAGCAAGATGCTGTGTTTGCAGTTTCCATTCACTACCATCTTGTATAATACATATGCATACTTTTCCAGGATCAAAGCTGCTCTTTTAAACGTCTATGGATGCATGCGTGGGAAGCTCATCACATGCCTCCCATCCGATTGGCGAAGAATAATCCCATCCCTTGACCATACAAAACAGGCTTTCGACTACACGTGTAATAATATCAACGGTAAATATGCTTTAAGGACAATTATCACTTTAAATGTGTGGTATATCAGCAATAGAAATGACAACGTATAAGTTACATATTGAACTGGTATCATCATGACACAACGTTGTCACAACGTTAGTATTACGTCATGGTATAACGTTATGTCACAAAGTACATGTAATAACAACGTTGCAAATTTTCGTTGAGGAATCGTTATCCTTTGAACTCCTCGCTGTTCACTACTGGGAAAACTATTCAACTATTAAAGTTAAATAGAACGTTAAGACAATGTAAAATTCGATAGCATCATGTAACTTGATCCTTGTGGTGACGTAAAAATCACGTATCACAACGTCAGGCTACAACGTTATGACAACGTAAATGGGAGTCGACATTGTGACAACGTTGTGACAACGTGAAATTGTAAGCTAGGTTGTCACCAAAGCGGCGTAAAACCGTGTTATAACTTTTGAATCTCATCTATAAGTTGAACTAAAGATTGGTAGTTGTCAGTATGGATGTGAATTATTCAAATATTTATGTTTCTATAAACATGTAAAACAAACTGGTTCAACCTTACGAACACGACGCGTCTTTTCATGAAACATCCTGTTTAGCAATGTCTGTAAGTTTGCACGTGATCGTGATTCCCCAATCACCATATTTTAATAGCCTACATGTCATTGCTGTGTGTATGTCACAATAAGAGGTACGAGTGATTACGGAAATAATGTCACGAGTGAAATTTATGTTCACTGTCCCGAGCTTTGAGTTGTTCTATTTATTACCCATTCTGTAATTAAACCGAGAGACCAGCATTTATAAACCCAAAGCCGCATCTTCTTATGTAAGTGATTACAACTAAGTCAGCTGATCTGTATTAATGCGCGGATGAAACCAAACTGCTCAAGCTTACTTAATGGATTCGCAGTCGAACCACAATATAGTACTGTAGAAAACGGTATGAAAAACAACACACAATTCATCAGTTTCCAAATTCATTTGATGGCGATTTTATTAACCACACCCCATTGTAAGGTTAAAGTTTATTTTCAACGACAACAATCTCATATTCAATATTTAGTCGTAAATCGCAAATGTGTCGATCTAGCCTACTCGTGTCAGAAGGTGGGTGACTGTTGTTTGATACAGAACAGCAAAAACCTGTCAATTTTTTTAACGTTAACCTATAACACAGTGAAAATCTACAAGGGAACAATAAAACGCAGGGATGGTGAACCTTATTTTAAGAAGACGATACACAATTATCAACGTTTGTCAACATTTTGCTGAAACGGACTGTGACCTAATTTTGGCTCGCGTCATGCAGTGTCCCTGAACGATAACTCTAAATTTAGTCCGAGTCGACAACAGGTTTCGTTCGCACCCAAAACGTTTTCAATGTCATGGTAAAAAACAGGAACAAACCTGTCATTTTTTTCGATTGGGGGTCCAAAAAATCATCTGGCGGTAAGTCATTTATGACGCTCTCCGGTAAGTGGGGACTTTGGCGAGATGCCGACTGGCTCGATATCGTTTCCGGCAACACTTTCAGTCTTATACATTGCGACTTCCATTTCGCCATGTTCATTGTTTATCACATACACGCGAAAGGAATTTAGTGGTTGTGTTATTCTCGTTACACGTCCAGTAATGTATCCGTCCACCTTGACCAGGTCATTGACGTTGATTGCAGTTAACTGGGTAGCCATGTTTGTTTACTAAATACGAATAGACAATTTTTATTAAAACACATGTTGTTAAGTAAACGACGCCATATTGTTAATGAAGTATGAATGAAGCATTAAATAAGCATCAGAATCGAAATCCTGTATGGTTTTTTTGTTCTATTTTAAACTCGAATCAGTGCGATTACAGCACGGTCAATTCATCAATGAATCGATGAAATATTATGAATGAACATAGTGGTGTGAAAGTAGTTCCGACATCCAATGAAAATGTACAAATATACGATCGACCAATCAACGTCGAAAATGACTAAATTGCACATTGTGCAAATATCAAAAAGATATTACACGGGATCTCCTCACCCGTATGGATAATACAAAGAATTACCCCTTCATAATTGCTTTTTATATTGTAGGTGTGAAGTTTCTAATTTTGTTGAGTACATATACTTTAAAGGTGTTCAACGGGTGACATTGAAGTTCCTTCCTGACCAACTCAAGTTATTCTGGGACAGTCGGGTTACGGAAAGGGGGACGAATGTTTGCAGATATGTTTGTTTATGTTCCTTGTAAGAACTTCTATGTTCGCTCCTTAAACATTGCCTTTCATTTGTACATTGGTTTACTATCACCGAATAGACATGTGTGTCTGCCTGCCTATCTTAAAAGATAGTTTTGTATATATTCAGATGTGGACGCTCCATGTTTGGAATCTCCGGATAGGACAATGATCGTCACTAACTGTCTTCGGGATGGCTTCCAGGGAGGTCCAGATTTCTCCACGGCTGATGAATATGTCACATTCGCCTGCAGGTATTCCCAAAACGTCTATAGCTCAAAATCAAGCATTGTAGAATATTGACAGAATGCAATTTTCTTTTGATTTTTTGGTTTTAGTAGCCACAAATTAAAACATTATTTCATGTATCACAGCTTGGGAGAGTTATTAACGTTGGCAATGTCGAAAGTGAGGATAGATGTGAACGTGTGAACTTAGTTATCCTAACCTACAGATATGTCTAGCAGATATCATTTAAATATGTAGCAACTACCCTTTGTCTATCCAGAGTATCGCTGTTGCTGGATACCTGCGTTGAGAAAGCCTTTGGTTCCTGTCCGAAGAGAACAGCAGAGGTCCTGAAAGAAGTGAACAAGTACAATAGACCAGCTGGCTGTGACGCTTGTGTCTCCCAGCCGTCTCTACTCCTCCTGTTGGTCTCAGTGTTGACATTCATGCTGGCTTTGTTCAAGTAGCTACCCTAGTGACATACCCCATTCTACACATATATGTGTGCTGGAGCTGTTGTTTTCTTTACTTATGAACATATACTCATGGAAACAAATAAGGGAACACATGAAACTATAAGTGTTCCTTTTTTTATTTCCAGAATTTGACCCACAGTGCAATACATACCTGGTGAAGAAAGCTGGAAAAGAATAAAGGAACACTTGTACTTTCATGTGTTCCCTTATTTGTTTCCATGAGTATATTTCGAAACAAACAGGGAAATCGAAATAATTTAACTAGGGGCGAGGGGGTATATGTCCTGTGTATGGGTGTCTAGATCTGATAGATTCTCCTGGTGGTCTGTGCTGCCATTCCAAACAATTGTCTACTTGTGAAGATGACGTAACCTGACTTCAACGTCATATTGGGGTGATGCAGCCTAGGGATCATGCAACTGCTTTAACGGATTGTTCAAGTCTACCCATGGTAACCACACGTTGCTGATTTGTGAGACGCGGCAGAGTCGCCTTTTGACGAAAAATCCTGTTTAGCAATGTCTGAGTTTGCACGTGATTGTTGTGTTTCAACAGCCTACATGTCATTGTTGTGTGTACATGTATGCCACAATATGAACCTACAAAGAATTACCCGTTCACAATTGCTATGTAAAATGTAGGTGTCAAGTTTCTAATTTTGTTGAGTATATATAATTTAAAGGGGTGGAATGTTGCTGGTAGTGGAGTATTTCTATCGATATGGCATTTTGTGGATTAATAGAAACATGTTGGTTATGCTACATAAGAAGAGGGGACTGTGTAGTTGAATTAACTCTGTACAAAATAGAGCTGCAACCTGTTTTTGGTGCTGGTAAAAACATTCCAAATTTAGCTCTTGTGCTCTCCGTCTGAAAGTCAAGCTTGGTAGATTTAGTCGTCGAAAGATCCCGTTACAGGAAATAATATGTAAGCTTTGTAGCACTAATACTGTCGAGGATGAAACTCACTGTTTAATTAGCTGTGATTTTGATTCTGATGCTTGATGTGGTCTGTGGAAGGAACTGTTTCTTTCTATCCCTTATTCGTAAACATGTCTCCAACAGATCAGACACTCCTTCTCAAGCAAAATGAGAGGTTAAACCCAAACTGGTGCAACTAGACCTCGAAAAGACAAAGCCGGTGTTCTGTAATAGCTGTATTTCCCATCTTTATAGCTGTATTTCCCATCTTTATGAGTGCTAATCGTTTAAGATGGCTTTGTAACATTATTGTTATTTTTTACTTTTACAATTTAATAATACCTTTAATATTGGATATTCATTATTGGATATGTATATAACGCACATATCCACGCACTAGTGCATGCTCAAGGCGTTGGTATTTTCCCCCTCGATCATTGGATGTCAATCTCAACGACACATGTTATTATCAATCTCAGCTCCCTGGGGATCATACAACTCTTGCTGCCACAAGGCGCCCCGCGTTATTGCGGCTTTCCCATCCTTACCTTTAATTTTTTATGTCTCATTGGCCTGATCCTCAGGCTGATGGCCAAGTGTCTGTAGTTTTGTATATTCCGCCTTTCGAACTAACTGTTATGTATTTACACACATGTGCCATCTGAATAAACCATTCTTTTTCTAACCAACATCTTTGGTGTCTGACCTAGAGCTGCCGGCGCAAAGGGCAGTGGTGCCGTGAGAGATGTTTTCATTGGCTGACATGCTGGCTTTTGTTGCAGTGTCTACTAGCATAATGTTAATAATGACACGCTCCTTACTCACGCATTAAAATCACCAAACACAGAAACAATATCACGGATAGATAATTCAATATATCATCGTAAATAGAATTCAGTAAATCCGTCATTAGCAGCAGGAATATCGATCTACACAATCGGGATACGATGACATGTGTCAGCCAAGTCAGCGAACCTGATCACCTGATCCTTTCAGACGCCTCTTCCGACAAGCATGGGTTGCTGAAGACCAATTCTATCCCGGAACTATTTAGAAATGAATTACAGATTTTAATATACAACATTACAACATACTAGTTCGTACCTTCCATATGGTAAACAAAGCTCATTTCTGGTGCACCCCCCCCCCAAAGGCCGTTTGCTAATAGCGGCCTAAAACCATAATCACTCACTTTATCTCTGCTTCAGGTGCGTGACAAATGCATTCATTGTTTGATATCCAGGCTCTTGTTGCAGTGTACTGTTAAAGATAACATGTGCACGCTTCACCCATTAATATCAACACGTCACGACACATCACGGAGCCTTTATACTATAGATATTTCATAATTCAGTAAATACATCATCATTCATACACGTAGAACCTTCGGATGATATGTGACATGCCCAAAGTAAGAGTCTTTGCCAATATTTTGAAATGAATGGCAAATTTGGCAATGACAATTTTCCATATAAATCACGTCATTGTACTCAACGGCCATCATCTACGAAATAAAGAGTCTGAGTCTGAGTTTGTTAATCGATAAATCGATTCATTCTTAGATTGCATAATGGAAGTAAATATATATCTATTTCTCACTGTAACCCCACCTGATCTTCCCACAGTTTTTTATCTCTGCTTCGGGTACAGTCTGAGATTACTTATATCCAATAAAGCAAGCAAATCCGTTATTTTCACTGTTGGCCACTATCATCACATATCTCAATGAAAGAAAGAAATCTGTAGTGGCTTCAAGTCTCAGGGTACAGTTAGCAAGTGTATATATGCATGATCTATAGCACTGTACGTGATTAACGATTATAAAAGTCTGTTCTGTTCTGGTATCCTGTGACGCAAGATCTGCTAAGATGTTGTTTTTACAATGTATACAGAAAGGGGGAACATCCATGGGGTGATTTCAATGGTTAAGTTTTTTCGTATCAATTAGTGACATATCGTCGAACAAGACCGTCTGCATCTAAATCAACTGCTACTTCTGCAATAGTAGACAGCGACAACATACTTCTCCTCCTCCTACCATTACAACGCCGAACCCAGCTTTATTACGTGGCGGTGGTCTTTAATTAACCAAGTATGGACCAGACAATCCTGTGACATACGAAAATGCTTCTTGTTCTTAACCTAAAACAATCGGGAACGTATGGTTTAAGTCCAAAAAGGGAATCGGACATCATCTTTGTCACCGAGGCATCAGGTTTTGAAGATTCCTCCAAATGGCTATCAAAAACCGCTGTGAAAGCTTTGCTGAGGCCTCGAATGTTGCAAACTTGTTTGGACACCATTTGGGGAAGATCTAATAATAATAATAATAATAATAATAATAATGACAAACCTCGTGTCATCCTACTGTTCTTCCAATGATATAATTAATAGAGAACAGAAGGGGAAGAGAAAGGGATGTTGGGGGGGCAAGGATCAACTTCTTGTTCAGAAAATAATTTTGGAAGAGGTTAAAACATATCACCGAAACCTCTCCATGTGCTGGATTGATTACAAAAAAGCATATGACTCTGTCCCTCGTGAATGGATTCTGAAGTCTCTGCGTTGTATTGACCTCCCTGAGCGACTACTTGATTTACTCAAGTCTTTAATGAGTTGCTGGTCGGCTCAACTTGAGATGTACTCGCAAGAGCAGGTGCAGACTTCGGAATCTATTCCAATCAGAAGGGAAATTTCCAGGGGACTCATTGAGTCCTTTGCTTTTTTGTTTGTCTTTAAATCCTTTGAGTTTCTGTAACAGAGAGGAGGGTTACCATCCTGGACCTCCTCAGCACAGATCTCCAACACCGCTTACTCATCTCCTTTACATGGATGATATCGAGCTCCTTGCCAAAGGAGATACCAATTTGAAAGAGCAGGTTCTCCTTGTTGAGTCCTTTTCTAATGATATTGGTATGACATTTGGACTCGACAAATGTAATACTCTTCATTTGAAACGTGGCAAGGTAACTAATGATGGATCGGTCAGGTTATAAGGGGTAGGAGTTATTGAGCATCTTGTGGAAGATAAGGCCTACACCTATCTTGGAATGCAAGTTCGAGACAAACTTCAAAATGCCCAGATTCAAGAAAAACTTCAGGGCCGAAAACTTTAAAGAAAATATGCTCGAAACAAAGTCAAAGCCACAATTCTTTGCTGTGCCAGTCCTTTCCTATTCCTTTGGAGTAGTTGATTGGACAAAACAAGACATCCAGAGTCTTGACCGCCTGACCAGAAGAATCATGTCTGATAACAGAGCTCACCACCCTCGCTCCTCTCTTAATCGTTTATATTTGCCAATCAATTCTGGAGGTCGGGGTTTGATTAATGTGGAGGCTCTTCATGATAGAATTCGTTGTGTACTTTTCCACATATTTATTTATCGGATGATCCTCTTGTGATGCATGTCAAGACTCATGATGAAAGCAAGGAATTCCACAGCTATCTTAAGCGTGCCAAGGTTGTTGGACAAAATCTGAAATTTGAGGTTGATTTTGTTGATGGTGATGTTCTGCTGGACGGTACAACGATGGGAGTAAACCAGGTTAAATCCTTCACCAAGTCTGCCCAGAGTTGGTCATTTGTGGAGAAGCTTTCGGAGAAACCACTGCATCGTGTGTACATGTAGAGTGTGGAACAGAGTAGTAATCCAACGCGATCTCGCGTTTTTCTGCCAATTACCTATACAGTCATCTTGAACCGGAATCATGGGTAGCTCAGTCGTCTGAGGCGTCGCAATGGAGTTGCGTCCCTTGAGAAACCTATGTTGGTGGGTTTCATCCTATATCGAGCTGACAAGCCGTGATGTAACTGAAAGATAAATTCTGTTGAAAGTCGTGTTAAGCCAAACTCACTCACTTATTCAGAGCAATGCACGTACCCCGGGCTGTGAATGGGGGTTAATTTCCAATATTAGCATGCCGAGCTTGTGGAGGTAAGACCGCAATAAATTAATAGACAGAGTTTGATTAATTTCTAAAAAAAACCATGGGAGGCGGGAAGGATATTAATTTACATTTTATTATTTTCTAATCGAGCTTTTTAAGGCACCTGTGTACAATTACTGTCGAAGGATTCGGTTCACATGCATCATGCATGTTCAGTGGGGCTACGTTTGTGGAGTATTTCATCTAGTAAAGAAAGTACGAATGTAACAGGGATGAATTAAGTGGTTGTATAGTGTGTACGTAAATTGATAACTAATCATCATTATCCTATATCAGGATATAGTGGTCTCGCAGACGACGACTTCTTTATGCATTTAATTTGCAATTCGTTGTCAGTTCAGCTGCCTCTTGTCTTTCCGTTTCAGTGAGTGAGTGATTGAGTGTAGTTTTACACCGCAGTCAGCAATATTCCAGCCATATGGCGGCGACCTGTAAATAATCGGGTCTCGACCAGACAATCCAGTGATCAGCATCATGAGCATCGATCTGCGCGATTGGGAACCGATGACATGTGTCAACCAATTCAGCGAGCCTGACCACCCGATCCCGTTAGTTGCCTCTTACGACAAGCATGGGTTACTGAAGATACATTCTAACCTCGATCTTCACGGGTTTCTTTGTGTTTCATGTACAGTTCTGTGTCACAGTTTGGTCAGAATCAAAGGTTAGTTATTATACATTTAAATTGTTACATAGTAAATTAAACCCTAACATTAATCATTACACAAAATAGGTATAAATATGACCATGATAAACAAAATAAAAGTCAATACACAGTATACAATTTAACTTGCATGAATGTGCTTATGGTTTGTTTGCTATATGTCCAGTCAATTTGCTGGCTAGTAGTTCTTGTTTGGTAACTATTTTCTGTATCATGTAAGATTGATATATCTCATCTACCATGTATATTGTATGTACTTGACAAAGATTACATTTGATCAGTGTGTGGTACTTATATGGGGTTATTGCATGCGTGGACTGTGCGGCTGCTGGATGTGCAGACACACTCTCGTTGTCACCCACAGGATAGGTTTCTTTGTACAGTATCTATTGTCTATTACATTATTATACCATGTATTATTATAAGTCTTTATGTCAACACTCATTTTGTATATTACTGTAAACCCGTGATCACGTAAGTCACCTGTGTGATATTGCATCGCGTAATACCTGTATATGATTGTTGATAGGAACATTTATGCACTATATTTATTATGATGACATGTTCATCAGATGTGATTTTATGTTGTGTATATCGTGTATATTATTGTTATTACAGGGTGTCTTCTTCCACCACGATATGAAAATTAAGAGATATCTCACTCATAACCCTTGGTCTGTGGTTAATAGGGGCGGTGGGGTAGCCTAATGGTTAAAGCGTTGGCTCGTCACGCCGAAGACCCGGGTTCGAATCCCCACATGGGTACAATGTTTGAAGCCCATTTCTGGCCGTGATGTTGCTGGAATATTGCTAAAAGCGGCGTAAAACCAAACTCAGTCAGTCAGTCTGTGGTTAATAACACATTGGAACTCCACTATATCATGGCTGCCACAGGAACACAACTATTAGCGATACAAATGTACTTCTATTTCTTTGAACTCGAAGACAAAAGAATATTATAAAGCAGGATGTTTTGTAGTCAGGCGGGAGCGGAAGAAAATCTATTGAAGTAGCGAATATGGTGTCGAGTAAAATATCACAGACACGCTCATTTTAGCCGACTGCTACAAATT